GGGGGGGGGAGGTTTAACACTTAAAAATATCACTTCCTGTTTGACGGTGTTGACGTCTCTGTAGATAAGGAATGAGAAAGGAGCCACAAAAAGAAAATGTCCACTTAAATTGCTCCTTGAGAGGAACAGAATTTATTGCCACTGTGGAAAATCCTCTTTTTTTTTTTTTAAGTTGCTATTCTCTCTCTCCTCAGAAGCAGCAGATCCTCCTGTCACAGACGGGTCAGTTACACGGCAGCCATGTTGGAATGTTCTGGTTTGCCACATAGTAGTTGCTGAAGTTGTGATCTCTGACGTAGGGCGCGGGCTGGTAGTAGCAGGTCACGCAGGAGGCGTCGGGGATGGCGCTCAGCTCGGCCAGGACCCTCACGGCCATCACCGAGAGCAGATGGAGGGTCTGCCTGCGCTCGTGGCCCATCAGGCACACCGTGCTCTCGTTCACCACCTTCCTCAGGATCTGCAGGTACTCGTACTTGCTCTTGTCCTCGCCGATGAAGTGGCTCTGGAGGTAGGCCTCCACCTTGCGCTGCTGCTCCCCGATGTCGGGGAAGTCGATGAAGAAGCGCGAGCACATGTACCGCTCCAGGGCCTTGAACTCCTCCTGGTCCGCGGGCTGGAAGTCCCGCACCAGCAGGTTGCAGTACTTGAGCAGGCCGCCGCCGCGGATCTCCTCCGGCCGCTTGGTGGCGATCAGCTTGCTGCGCAGGTGGTGCAGCGCCGCGTCGAAGTCGCCGTACATGCTCTCCCCGCTGACGGTGGGGTGGCAGGCCTGCGACATGGGCGACTGGGCCCGCTCGTAGTGGGACAGCACCGAGTCCAGCAGGATCTGAAAGGAGTCCACGCTGAACTCGAACTGCCGCCGTATGGAGTCCACGAACTTCAGCTCCACGTTGCGGCCGTTGTTGTTGGACAGGGAGATGAGGCTCCAGCGGTCCTGCTCCGTGTTGACCTTCACCAGCTTCTGGATGTAGACTTCTTTCAGGGTCATGGGCGTGATCTTGTCCTTGTTCACGCCTTCGGGCAGGAAGTCCAGCAGGATGCCCAGCACCACGTCCTTGACGAGCCTGAACTCGGCCTCGGTCGGCAGGTCCACTCTGAAGATCACGTCCAGGTCCTTGTAGCTCCAGCCGATGTCCTGAACCAGCACGTGGCTGGCTGTGGAGCCGTTGAGCCGGATGTCCTTCACCCGGATGTCGCTGAGCTCCAGCCGGGAGCGCACCCTGGCCACGATGTCGCTCAGCTGCACCTCTAAGGTGGGGAAGTTCCCTCGCCCGTGGACCGGCACCACCTCCGTCAGAACTTCATGGAGCCTGCTCACCTGCTCCCAGGTGAGAACACTGACAGACCTGTTTGATTCCTCCATGTTCTCACACAGCCCTGATTACCTGGGAGATTTAAAAACACTCATTAGTTCAAAACATCAACTCACTTAATCACATATGGCTGTTTGTTTAAAATGTTTCAGCACGACACACACACACACACACACACGAGCTCGTGAGGCTTCTAGAACAGTTCACCCTCCTCCCTCGTTCCAGAACCGATTAAAGCAGCTGTTTTCTAAACCGAACAACCAGAACTACCTGCGCGGAACTAGAGCTGCGGAGGAACACGTTCAGCCCAAACAGTCAGCAAATATTTGTTTCAGCTAAAAATCGAAGAGGGCAACTTGTTACCCTGTAAAAAGAAAACAGTTAACAAGCTTAGGTTAGCTTAAAAAAAAGTTAGGTTTGGCTTCATTTCGCTCATATGGCGATGAGTTACAAGCGGATATTTTAACGCTAAACGAGAAATCGTCTGGGTAAAACTTTAAGCCGCTGCGTTTATTTTAAAAAAAACATACTTAAAACAGCGAATCAACCATAAAAGTTCAACATACGTTACCAAACGTGCACTCCGGAAGCATTCAAAGTTGAAAAATGACGTTAACTCGGCACACACCTCCACATAATCCACAATCTGACCCCGAACACACGCAGTCAGTAGAAAAGACAGCGTTTGAACCAGTGCCTGGCGTCAGACACGCCTGGTTTATAAAGCCGAAGCACCGCCTGACCGGGATACATGCGCACAAGCGCCACCAAGTACTGCCCACCGTGCAGACGGCACTTACTGATTCAAAACTACAACACGAGTCACACACAACACGATACAACACAAGACAATTATTACTTTGTGCATTTACCTCCAAGTACAAAGTCTTTCCTTCAGCAGACTGCGCGTTCAAAGAACCGTGCAGCTTTATTGTATCATTACGCCAAACGAAGCTTCTGATTGGTCAGGGAGGTTTTTGCGTTGCCTAGTTGCCAGATGCGTCTCCAGGTCACAGAGCATCCATTTGTTATCAAAATACTTTCATTTAAATATGCTTGATACTAGTGAATGTTTTGACTGTACAAATGTGGAGAAAACCCCACATTTCTAAAGAGAACTGTAGTTAAATACAGTATAAGCTATATGGTCACAATTTGCATCAGAAATGACAAATAAATATGAACTATGACTTCATTTCTTTATTCTTGACTTGTTTTTCCCTATTAGGTTCATTTAAGTGACAGAAAAAAACAAGTTAATCTAAAAAATACTGTTGCCTTACATTATCTACAAATTAAAATAGGGTTTTGTGGAAAGATCGTGAACAATTAATAGCTTACCTGTTTTAAATAACTTTTTGAACAAGCTTGAGGACATAGTTAATGAATGAAAGAAACTTTTTACATAAAGTACCATCATTTAAATTGATTTGCGTGGTTATTTGCCAGTGCAACACCTTCAGCAAGAATATTTAAATTGCTGCTAAAACAACAAGGCTTGACTAATAACGACTAATCTGAGCCCAAAACCCCACTTTGAATTGCTTCAGATATCTAATCGTAGTCACAAGACTTAATCCAGCTTCTCTTTCAGCAGTTTGTAAAACTATACACACAGCTGATATTATTTTGTATGAGTAACGATCATGTAAACAGGTTTACAGCTCTCTGCAGCACAACAAACAACACAAATTATATTCTAAAAGGAGGAAATACATTCTAATCCCACTGATRTGTTCGTTGTGGTTTTAATGTGTTTCATTCTGTCAATACAAAAACAACCCAAACATCAGAAAATCTTTATTGTCGAAGCATTTCTGTGGAAGGAAGTCCTTTTCATTCAGTCACTTCAGTGGAAGACAAACAGAAAAACCCAGCCTGAATGTAAGTTTCTCTTCATGTGWAAACACTGAAAATCCCTTTAAAGGGACAAATTCATGAGATGATGCCAGCGTTTTTCAGAAACCTCAACCTGAAAAGTCTTTAGAATCATGGATTCAGAAGCTACAAGTGATTAAAACCCAAAACTGAGTTATTAACAAACGCTCCACAACTGAAGGTGATAAACTGTTTACCTGTGTTTTGTTTTTATGTTTTTATTGCCTGCATGTGTTTATGTACACTTGTCTAAAAAYAGTTTTGTTTTGTTTGTTACTCTGGACAACGTAAGAAAATTTGCCATCGTGATATAATAGTGATTAATAGTGATACATATATAGTGTGTATATAGTGATTAATGTGTCCTTTAAAACAAATACAATGAAATGAAATGAAATAAAATAAAAAAACATGCTTTCTCAAGTTTAAAGCCACCAATTCTAATTGTTTTTAAAAACTTGTGTATTTAATTGTTGCTGTGTACTTTTGGGAAAGAGAATGTGTTAAAAATGTTAAAAACTAAAAATTTTTTGACCATGTACAATTTATTATATTCCAAACTATTACTTTCTTTACTTTTTCAATATCAAGTTGTATTTTTTTATTTAAAACAAAAAAAATTATATTTTTACCACAGAAATTCTGGTTTTTCTGTCTGAGGTTTGAAGGATAAAACGGTTTGGTTTTGTAAAATATTGCAAAAAACTATTGCTATTTTAAAGGACATGTCAAACTTAAGGCCTGCAGGCCAAATCTGGCCCTCATYAGTATTTTGTCTGGCCCCAAAGGTAATACAGCATTTCAAATATAAAATAGTTTTATGGTTTCTCCTTTTGTCACTGTACTTAGTGCAGCCTTTTTCAACAGTAGTCAACTTTATCACTGTGTTTTCTTCTATTAAAGTCAATAATTGTATTTTAAATAAAGGTCATGTTGAGTGGATTTGCTAGATTGTGATAAAATGCATTCTAGGAAATAATAAATTAAATAGTTGTGAATTGAGAGTAAGGCATAAGAAATAAATGATGCATACAGCGGGTAAAATAAGTATTGAACACGTCAACATTTTTCTCAGTAAATATATTACTAGAGGTGCTAATG